GAGCAGCCTGGCCATGCCCTGGGGCAAGTCTTGCCCCTAGGGAGCCTGCTGAGGCTTTCTCTCACTCTGGCTCCATCTCTCCCTGCAGGAGATGGGATCCCAGGCTCTGGCCACTGCCCAGACCCTCCTCCAGCAAGAGCAGGATGCCTGGCAGAGCCTGATAGCCAGTATCCAGGGGCTGCCAACCAGCATGCAGGAGCAGGTCCAGCAGGGCTGCCAGCACCTGGGGGAGCTCCAGGCTGCCTTCTCCAGTGCCCCGTCCTTCCAGGAGCTGCCTGAGGGGCTGCTGAGCCAGAGCAGGGAGAAGCTGGCCAAGGCCCAGGAGTGCCTGGATGATTTGCTGGAGTATGTGATTAAGAACATGCCCCTGACCTGGGTTGTGGGGCCACTTTCTCCTGCTGGAGGCTCTGCAGAGCAGGTGGAGGAGCCTGCAGGGGAAGGGAAGGTGGAGCCCTGAAGAACTAAACCCCTCTTGGGTTATGCCTAGTAAAGGGGTCCTTTCTCTCCAAGGGATTTGATTCAGGCTGTGAAGGTGGGGTAGTCTCATCATCTTCCTTCTGATGGGCAAGTCTTTTGCCCTCCCCACTGAGCTGGGTATTCACTTGCCCTTCCCAGAAAGGGCTGCCTTTCCCTGGATGGCTCTAATCCTGCTGTACCAATCGGCCTGTCAGCTGCCTCCTGATTTGAAGGCTGCTTCTGCTCCAAATCCCTTGCCTGCCTTGTGCCTGGTTGGTTGCTGGCTTAGTGTTGATCACTGTTGCATTCACAGCCTGTCCTGAGCATGTTCTTCCATCAAGTTGCAGGGAGGAAAGGAGTCTTCCTGAAGCAGTTTTGTAGAGGGGATGGTTTCACCTGCAACTAGAATAAATGCTGCATTTGAAAAATGGCTCTCCTAATTGGCTTCCAATTTGTTGGTCCCCAGCAACTCCTGTTCCTGCAGTGTCTCCTTTTCCCAGTTGACTTCCTCATCCTACTGCTGGAAAGGAAGCGGCTCATTCTTTTTTCCTCATGGCCCTGTCTCACTTGTTCCAGCCTCCTGCGTTCTATTACTCCTTGCTCCTGTTGTGCTTCTCACTTCCTCCAGTTCATTACAGGAAGCAGAGGGACACCAGGTGCCTTGTGTTTTGCCCACTTCCAGGAAGCCTGCAGGAACTATGTGTACTTTTGCCCTTTTCCCCTGCCTTCCTTTCTTCCCTAGTGCAGCAACTCCTTTCCTTCCTAAGAAGGCTCAGGGCTGAAAGCAGAGCACATGGCTGAGAAGCTGGGTGGGGATCTGCATCTGAGGGTGGGAGGGGTTGGGGCTGGGACCAGGATGATGGGTTGGGAGAGCATGGGGCTAGGGCCTGAGCAGGAGCCATGATCTCCTCCTTCCATCCTTGCCTGTTGAACTGATGCTGGTTGCAAGGTGGGCAGCAGCTCTGCCCCAGTCCAATGCTGTTACAGCCCCATAATCCCAACTTCTTGTCCCACTTCCTCTCCTGCTTCTGACTACCGTTCTCCACCTGGCTACAGCCCTATCCTAATCACCTGGCCATGTACCCAGCCCACACAGGTTCCACCCCCAGCCATGGGTGTGGGGTAGATAGGTTGGGGTATCTGTCCAGTGGAGCCAGGCTAGGCTTCCCACCCATCCCTAATTGGGGGGGATCAGTCCTGGAAGGAGAACACCAAGTCCCAGGCTCCATGATTTGGAGATGATACTTGTCTGGGGTTCACAGCATCACGCAGGGATGTGGGGTTTCTGCTCACCACAAGAAATGATAGGCTTTCTCTTGTAGGCTGGCAGGAGCAGGATGCAGGGGGGCCATGTGCATGTGTGGTGCATGGGGTCTGGGCATGGAGTGGGTGGAGCCCTGGGCAGTTTGCTGTCACTGTGTGCATTCCCCAGGGTGGGGTGTGGAGGGGACACATGCCCGCTCCAGATTTCTGTGCAGGGTGGGGGTGGATGCAGGCTGCCTGCTGCAGTCTCAGGGTTCCCTGCTCTGCTGCTGTCCCCTGGGAACCCCATGTAGGCTGTACCACCATGGCAAGGTAGCTGGAAGGAGCTATTACTAGGGCTGCTGGGAAACGGAATCAGGTAGCTGCACTGCCCCCAGCCTGCTGCACAGGTCGAGGTGTCAGGGCTGGCTACATGTGCCAAGGCCTGGGCTGCTCTCCATGCCTGGACTGAGCAGGGCTGAGGGCCCCATTGTGGGCTGGGCAAAATGCCTTGACACAGCCCACAGTCCAGATGCGGTGTGACTTGCCTATCCCTATTCTAGGAGCCTCATCTCTTTCCATTGCTCCCACCTGCCTCTCTTTAGAGCGAATCGTTCTCTGGTGCTGGGGGGGGGCCTGCACTGCTCTTACATAAGCAGAAGGATCTCGGGCTGAGTTGCCCTTTTCTTGCCTTGAGGCCCTTGTATTGCCCCCTGTCCCTTCCTAGTTCTTGAGGAAATGCTGAACTCCACCCTTCCCAGTCTCACTTGAACCAAGGGCAGTTCTCAGGCTCATAAAGAGATCAGATGCTTTACTCCATCAATGCCAATGGCCACAAGGGGCAACCTGTGCACTTTTGCCTGCCTGGCAATGCAGGGACCTGGAGAGAAGGGGTGGAGCTGCCAGATCTCTTCTTGTAACCTGTAACAAATGCTTGCTCCAAATTACTCTTGTACTGAGCTGAGAAGAGTGCAGTGACTTGATGTTTCTGGCTCTAAGCTGGGCCTACCCTGAGAATTAAAAAGGCATCAGACCAAGGCAGCTGCTCTGAGCCCAGGTGAGAAGCAAACAAGCCTGGTCTGTGATGGCACCTGGCACTCGCAAGGAGCAGTCACCCTGGCTTTTGGGAGGACAAGACTCCCTAAGGAGTGGTGTCTCTGCAGCCACCTGGTGCTAGTGTTATGCTTCCCGATCATTATGTCTTCCCTTTCCCACCTCATGTGCCTGTCCTTTCCTTGTCTTAAAACACCCAATGGCCATGTGAATTGATATAAGCAAATCTCTTCCTCCTTTTGCTGGTTTCAGACCCCAAGGAGCTAGTGTGTGTCTCCAGCATGGAAGCCAAGGCTGGCTGCAAGGGCGATGGCGAGCAACAAGGTAACTCAGGGCGGCTCTAATCAAAGATGCTTCCTTACCCGATATAGAGATGGCCTTGGCTGCAGTGAGCAGCAGTGGAAGAAAAAGCTCTTGGAAAATCTTCTGGTTTGACTTCATCTTTCTGTTTAGATCCCATCCAGATTTCTTTCAGAAAATAGCTGCTGATACTGGAGTGAGTGTCACCCAAAGCCTCCGGTAGAAATAGGAATCTCTGCAGTGCTGTATGCCACTTTTCATCGATTTCCTCTTTATCCCATGAGGAAGAGGAAAGGGAACAAGAAGCATTGTCGAATGTGCCTAACACCCAAAAGGAGTGCACTGCAGATGTCTCTATGTGGCCAACTGCTCAAGGCAAGCATGGTTGTCCATCTAGTACAGGGGTGGACAAATGGCAGACGTGGCCAGTGGCTGGACTCCATTTCCTAGCAGCCCCTGCCTGCACCCCTCCTTGCTGGTCTCAATGGAGACCCCCACAGCAGTGGGGCCACAGGGCCTGGCCCTGTGCTGTCATAGCCCCACACTGTCAGGGCCCTGCCACTCCTGTGGTCTTCATGGAGACCAGCTAGGAGGGGCATGAGCAGGGCCTGTGGCAGGGCAGGAGCTGGGCAGGGCCCAGGCCAGGATCTGGCGGTGGGCATGGTGTGGGGCTGGAGCTGGGGTGGAGCTGCAATGCATTCCCTGCATACCTCCGCTTCTGGAGCCCACGCTCATTGCAGGGGCATGTGGGCAGGGGATAGCAGCTCTGCCCTGACCCTGGCTTCCCCAAAACTGTGTTCTCCCCATCCATGCCTGTTCATCTTGCTCCTGGATACAGCCACATTGTAGCTGCCTAGCCATGCCTCCTGCTCGTGCAGGTCCCACCTCTGGCGGTGGGTGTTGCAGGGGAGGGAACCAGGGCAGTGGGGCTGGGTCCAGCAGGGACAGCCAGAAGGAGCTGTTGCCATAGGCACTGCTGGCCCATGGAGTCTGCTGTAGAACAGAAGTTACCCACCCCGATCTAGTAGCTTTGCTTGTGCTATCCGTACACCTAGGAGCCCCAGACATAGGCTGGGACAGCGCTGGGGTTAGTGCTGTGAAGGCACCTGGTGCAGAGCTGGTCCCTGCTTCCTGGTACTTGCGTTCTGTTCTAGTGAACGTGGACCTGTGCACGTGAATGTGTCCCCTGAAAGGATGGACCCAGGCATCTTGGTACCCATGATGCTTCCTGATGTTCTCAATAAAAGAAATCAGGGGTAAATCTCCCCCAAATGAGGATGGTCTGATTCACATGTTCCCATTGATTCAAATTTGCCCACAGGCAGGTTTGGCCATACATGGGTCCATCGAGGTGAAAAATACAGCCCTGTCTCTACCAGGATTTTACTCTCCTAGTCCCTATTAATGTCCTCCCTGAAGTGTGTGATCTCAATGGAAAACCCACAGCTTTGTGCAGTGGAGGCCAATTTAGCATGATCCAACATCTGGGTCGTGGTGAGAAGAAGAAGACGCAATAGGTTATGAAAAACTGCAGAAAGTAGAAGGGAACCATAAGGAGCAAACAGGCTCACGTCAAGGAAGCAGCCACAGCTGCCCAGCAGCCCCAAGAAGACTGAAGCTGTCTGCTGCCACTATCTGTTCAGTGAGGGGGAATCCAGTCTCCGTGCTCCAGGCCTCTTTGGGTGTCAGTCATGTCACAGATCAGGGCATTTTATTTGCAAATACAGGTGAGTTTTCAAGCTGAGGATGATTGGAGGGTGTGTGGGCAAACAAGGTACTGACTTGCAAGGATGGAAGATGAGAGACTGCTGTTCCTGTCCAGAGCACAGAAACTGCTTGTGGGGCTTCTGGATGTGACTGTCCCTGTTGGAAAGTGATAGATGAAAAGACCTGCACCCACGGTGCCTAGGGAGGGTCATCCTCACCCTAATGGCAGTCTGGGGGAGCTGGTATAATAAAGCATGGAGAGGAGCCTGTTGGCCGATCTCCCATGTTGGGAAGACCCTCATGTTTCTGCGAGATGTTGATTTCTCTTTCAAAAGCTAGCTTGTAGTGGGGGTGTTTCAAGGTGGTAGATGGAGTTAAGCTATCACAAGAACTGTTTCGAAGTGGGGAGTGGAGTGAAGATGGTGCAGAGGCAGCTTTGATTCAGCGATCAGAGTAGAAGCATGATCAGAGTAGAGGGGACAGCAGCTTTGCTGAGGTGCTCCCCTGAAGGCCTGCTTAAGTGGCACGTGAGCTGGGATTGCTCTGGCTGGGAGAGCCCCCAAGGCAAGATGTCCCTCAGGGGTGAGAGAGAGGCTGGCCCAGACTTCAGTCTCCATCATTTTGGGCAAGGAACAGAGTAACACAGGACAGGAAGAAGTGACTCTCGAGCTCAGGGGCCACCCATAACCCAGTGAGGAA